CAGGTCCCAGGAATGCAGCGGCGGTGGCGGGCGGGGCCCTGCCTGGAGAGGGGGAGGGCGCGATCGCTGCGGGCCCTGCCGCTCAGCCTCAGCTGTTCCTCCCCTCGGGGTCGGTGCTGGGGATCCGGTGGGTGGCAGGCTGGAGCTGTCGGAAGCCTGAGCCCTTCGCTCCCACTCCCCGCAGCCCTGAGACCTCCCCATGAGGCGGCCTTTTCTACTCGCCAAGAGCTCGGGTTTGTGTTTCAAATCCTGTTGCTGCCGCTCTCCCCGCTGTGTGGCCCTGGGCGAATCGCTTCACCTCTCTGGGCCTCCCTCATGCAGTGGAGGGGGTGACTTCAATCATGGGTGGAGCTGATTAATGGGAAGGACAGCCGCTCTTTTTTGTTACTCTCCCAAGGCTCCCCCCAGCAGTTCCCTTTCCCCAGAGGTGGGAGGACCAGGGGAGGGGAGCGACAGCCACTAAAACCCATGTATCTCACGTGTGCCGGGCCTGTGGTTGGTGCAGGGGGCACAACAGGGGAGACAGACACCCCTGCCGGGGTGGTGGAGGAAACTTACAGCAAATCATCTGCCATCCAGCAAGTGCTAGGTGTTCAGTGGGGAGTGCTGCTTCCCTTAGGGTGATCTGGGAGACCCACTGCGAGCTGATAAGTGGGCAGAGGCCCAGGGAAGAGGAGGCAGTGCCTTGTGGTGTCCAGGGTGAGGCTCTGAGTGCAGAGGGCCTGGGGAAGGACCTGGGGGCTGGCCAGAGCCTGGGAGGGGGATGGTGGTGGAGAGGCCAGAGTAAGGGTGGCCAACCACAGTGGGGTCTGCCCACTGCTCTAAGGACTTGAGTTTTTTGAGGGCCATGGGAACTCCCCGGGGGCTTTGTGCAGAGGAGGGCTGGCATCTGACAAGGGTTGACTCTCAGGTGGCAGAGGAACGAGGGGCGGGGGGGCAGAATGTGGGGCCAGTTGGGGGATCAGGGAGAGCCAGGGTGGCTCTTCCAGGCTGGGGCAGAGCAGGGGAGAAGTGGCCTGTCCCATCCTAGATCCACTCTGAGCGGTAGAGCCAATGGATGTGATGTGTGCGCGGAGTCAGGGTCAGCTCTGGGGATTCGGCCTCCCAGCCTGTAAGGACCGGGCTTACCTGTGACGAGAGGGGGGGGGGGGGGGCAGCTAGGCGTTCAGTGTTGGAAGGAGGGCCCCGTGGAGGGCTCCCAGGCTTGGATTGTCAGCACGTAGATGGGACCAATGAGCTTCCAGAGAGGAGAGAGCCTGGGGGTGGGGAAACCAGAGGAGGGGTGTCCACGGGGGCAGAGGAGAGGCAACTGGTATAGGAGCCTGAAGCCTTTTCAGTGTGGGCTGGCTGAGCTCTTCGTTTGTGCCAAATGCTTGAGACATCTTGGTTTAATCTTCCTGCCAAACCCATGGGCTCCATTCTACAGAGAAGGAGCCTGAAGCTCAGAGAGGTTGAGTTCTGCGCCCAAGGTCACATAGCAAGGGGCAGAGGCAGGCATCAAATCCAGCTTCCTGGGGCCCTACAACAGGCTCTCGCCCACAGAATCACATGGCCAGGCAGGAATTGGTCGTGCTTCCAGGACCATTCCATCAGGAGGACACCTGCAGGGCCTCTCCTCCCAGGGACTTGGGTTCAGAACTGGCAGAAAAGGCCGAGGGTGAAGGCCCTACTTGTAGATGGGCACCGGGAGCCCTGGGGCAGGCCTAGGGGGTGCAGGTCATGGGGGGCAGGAGAAGCCAGGCCTTTGTGTTCCCTGTGTCAGGCATCCAGTTCAATTTGTGGAAAATCAGCTGAGCCCCATTCCTGCCCTTTGAGGTTTTTATGGGTCCTGTTCCCAGGTCCCACGTCTTGGGCCTGAGGGAGAATGGAGTTATTTTGTGGGGTGAGGCCCCAAGGCCCCATCCAGGGTGTGCTGATGTCCTGGAACATCCTGGGGACGTGCGGCATCTTCTGAGGGGGTGATGGGGGGCAGCCTTTCCCTTCCCAGCCTGGACCACTCACCCAGGGTCCTTAGGCCCCCTCCCAACCTCTTCCCATCCCGGTCCCTCTCCTTTGGAGAAGCCCACTCCTTTTCTCTAAAATGCGAATGGCTGCTCTGTGCCTTTAGGATTCGGATGAAATTCTTCTAGGTTTGATGGGACCTATGAACCGGCGTCTGAGCGTCTGTTCCTTCTCAGCCTCCTTTGCCCCCCAAATGTGGGCACCCCGCATTTCAGCCCTTGTGCGGGGCCTCCAAACCTTCATGCCCACACACCCCATCAGCCCAGAGTTTTGGACACTGTACTACCCTGAAATGTGACAGTTCTAAATGGTATGCTTCCTACTGAGGTGACTTGTACCTTGTAAAGCCAAATAAAATTAAACAAGATTTTAAAAACATATAAGTAGGTGCTTTAATATCTCCTTCCTACACCTCAACTCTTGCCCTGGAGACCTCCCAGTTTTACCTCCCTTACGCTTGTGGAGAACTCCCCAGGTGTGCCTGCCCCTCTAGGAGGCACCTCCACTGAGTGGATGCCTCACTGTGTCTACCCGCCTCACCCAGAGGCTGCACATCTATCTGCCTTGGCACTTCACAATGCCACACTTGAGCAGGTCCTGGAGGCCCAGGGACCTCTCCCCAGCCCCTGTCACTGCTGCCCCTCCTGAGACACCTGGGGTCTCTTTCTCAGGCCTAGTAGCTGGGGGAGGAGGGTCCAGAGAGTTAGGTGGGATGGGGAGACCCTGTAGAGAGAACTGGGAAGTTCTTAGAAGTTAGGTCTATTGGTGGTCTGCGCTCTGCACCTCCCGGTGCCATATGCTGGAGGGCTGGAATGTGTGTCTCCTTCCCTACTACTCTCCCAAACCTACAATAGTTCCTGACCCTTATACACAGCAAGGCCATGATAACCACTCCCCCACGGCAGAGTGGAGGTTGCAGGAAGCCCCTGCCAGGAGGGGGATTGGGACTCAGGCTCCTCTCTCTGCCTGCAGCTCCCAGGAGCCCATGTGCTGTGCCGGCTGGAAGCAGCAGGGGGACGAGTGTGGGATCGGTGAGTGGGACATCCTGGGGACCTGGGCAGTGGGGGTGAGGCCCAGGGACCTCTCCCCAGCCCCTGTCACTGCTGCCCCTCCTGAGACACCTGGGGTCTCTTTCTCAGGCCTAGTAGCTGGGGGAGGAGGGTCCAGAGAGTTAGGTGGGATGGGGAGACCCTGTAGAGAGAACTGGGAAGTTCTTAGAAGTTAGGTCTATTGGTGGTCTGCGCTCTGCACCTCCCGGTGTCATACGCTGGAGGGCTGGAATGTGTGTCTCATTTGCCACTACTCTCCCAAACCTACAATAGTTCCTGACCCTCATACACAGCAGGGCCATGATAACCACTCCCCAACGGCAGAGTGGAGGTTGCAGGGAAGCCCCTGCCATGAGGGGGATTGGGGCTCAGGCTCCTCTCTCTGCCTGCAGCTCCCAGGAGCCCATGTGCTGTGCCGGCTGGAAGCAGCAGGGGGACGAGTGTGGGATCGGTGAGTGGGACATCCTGGGGACCTGGGCAGTGGGGGT